GTAGGCGTGCTTGCAATCGATTTTGCAATTACATGCGAAAACACAGAATCTCGAGGGTGGGATAAGAGGGTGGTCTTAGTAACTAGAGGGAGTGTGAAGAAGGAGAACGATTTTCACGACAGCGCTCGTCGACTATGACTGCGACGGCGAGTGCGGCGACGACAGCAGCTGTGACGATAGTGACGGTGGTGGCGATGGTGGCGGCGTTTGTGACGAGAAGGACGGTGGTGGTGACAGTGGCGATGGCGACGAGATGGAGAATCGAAGAAGGTAGCGGTGCTGACGGAAGAAAGAAAGAAAGAGAGGGTGTTGCAGGCGGAAGAAGGGGTTAGAAATTCAGTAGATGGAAGAGAAGAGAGTAGAGTAGAGTAGAGTAAAGGAGTGTAAGGTAGTATAGAGGTAGAGGTGCGGGTCTGGCGTGAGACGCGGCCGCGGCACGGAACTCGAGGGACGGAAAGGGGCGAAAAGCGACGAGCGCCACCGAGACGGGACGAGGCGCGACGAGGAAAGACGATGAAGGCCGACGGGGGTCGCGCACCGCGGCGCTGAACGCAGTGCCATCCGATAGGCAGCACCGCTTGCTCCACGGATCTTCGGCTCGCTCGCTTCGAGCTCCGGTCGTTCGCTGTACGATCCACGCTCGATCCGCTTCCTTTATTTTTCGTTCGTCTTGGCGTGGCTGCCGTCGCTGCAGTGGCGTCCATGCCGAGAAAGGAAAAACCAGCATCGACACGACGCTGCAGACAGTGGAAAACACGGAGCCACCGCGAAGACGCGTGCACTGGTCGTGTGTGTCGTTGCCGCGCGTAGTTTTACGTGTACTGCATATACGCCGTGGTCGAGCTCGTGAACAGAGGTGCCCCCTCCCCTCAACCTGAACGGCGAACGCGTGGTGGTCAACACGGTGCGTGTGCTTCTCTCCTTTCTTTCTTTCTTTCTCTCTCTCTTTCTTTCTTTCTTTTTCTCGCATGCTTGCTCTCTTTTACTTTACATCCTTCCGCTTCCTTTTCGTCTTTTTCCTATCGTTGCTTTCGTTCGCCGCGCCGCGTGTGCACGCTGTCGTTTTATTTCCTCTCCCCCCCCCCCACGGTTCTTGTCGCGCCTTCTTTCACCTCCCTTACCGTCGCGTCCGATAGCACCCTTTAATATCGTCGCCCGGTTGATGCCGTTGGTGCCGTGCGATTTCACCGAACCGTTGCACCCAACTGCAAAACGGCACAACGTGCGCGACTAAATTTTCTCCGCGGGTATACACGAGTTTCCATCGTGTACGCGAAAGGTACCCATTCTCGGAACGCGAGAGAGACCCAGCATGGCCGCCTAGCATAAGACGAGTCAGAGTTCCTTGCCTGTGTCCACGCTACACAACGGCATCGCACCAAGCTCTTCTTCTCTTTTCCTCTCTTCGTCCCTTTCTATCCGCCTTCTCCCGCCCTGTGTATTCAAAGAGTACACACTCCTTCTCTATCTCTCTCTCTCTCTCTCTCTCTCCTTCCCTCCGGTGCATACGCATACAGTTGCATCGCAATCTGTCTTCGTTTTTGTACAATGTTGTTGCTCTCGTTGCGTCGCTTTCTCGCTTTCTGTTCCACGCTTTTCCCTCACCGTTCGTTCCCTCTCCTCTTCTTCTCGCACCTACATATATTCCAACTCTTTCTCGTCCTCGTCCGTGGTCGATCTCTTTCCCACACGATTTCTGCATCTCTCTTTCGTTCTTGTCCCCTGATCGCGCCTTTCATTCGAAAATAGAACGTCAGCGCGCGTGCCGCGCACATTTTTCCTCATGAAAACAGCGAATTCCCACTCGCTGACACGCGCGCGCGACCCAACACCAAGCGACCGCTCCGCTCCTATTCTAACCTCGCTTTCCGCCCAAAAATTCCACCCATTTTCGTCTCTATCACCTTATCAACATGTTGACCATATACATTCTTCCTCCAAGATACATCGAGAAAGAAAGTTTCATTTTTCAATCGTATCACCCGGTATATAGCGCATAGCTTGCATTTTTCATTCGACCATAATCGACAATCGCATTCTATGCGAACGAAGCGATTTACCATTGCGAAGAAAACACTGTCCCTGCCCATCGACTGTCGCAGTAGTCAGACACGCTATAAGTGTAATTATTCCCAGTACGATCGCTCCATTTTCCAATTAAAACTTTTCCATTTTTTCCTTGCCGTCTTGCAAGCCTCAGATAATATCGATGCCGGTATCGTTCATCGGCGACCTCCGCAGCGTTAAACGATTCGTAACGTGTAACGATGTTTATCACAGGGATACCGAGACGACGACGAAACAGAGAAATAATATTTTCATCGTGACACGGGAATATAATAGAAAGGTTAGCTCTCGGTCTGCCTCGTGTATCTCCTGGTTGTTGGTTTTGTTGCGGTCAGACGAAGGCAGACGTCCGACGATATTCTGGCGGGAGACTCGTAAAAATAGTGCCTTCGTCGTTTCCTCCCTTCGACTACTCCGACTATAATTAGCGGGATTCGAGTTTTCTGCGTAAACAAATATTCGACGGTTGACGCGGGTTTAGACTGTTTTCAGTTTGTTCGCGATTTCCTGTTCAATAAAGTACCGCGAGAATAAAGTAAACGCGAAACACGACTAATCCGAGGTACTCTACTCGTGTCGTGGCTAAAGTCAGCGTCTATCGATGCTACACGAGTTTTGCATTAGGAGAGTGTGGACAGTAGAAACAGACCACTTTGTCTGTTGTCGTCAGCCGTCCCTTTTCCACGTTCGCGATGCCACGTTGGCATACTCTCTAGCAGACGGTTTCTATAGGCGAAGAGGTGGGCTGTGCACTATTCATACCCGATGACCGTTCATAAAAATAGGATTCTCCTGATTCCTCTTCACCAATGCTGCGCTTAATGGGCAACCTCAGACGTTCGGTAAATCTTGAGAAAATTATTCCTTCCCTTCAACGATCGATAACCCGAGCGTCTCGCTATCGAACGATCGACTCACGATTCCCTTTCGCCTGGGGTATCATGTTTGAAAACCTGCTCCCATCATCCCCCGTTTTCAAAGCATCCATCGGATATTAATTTTCTTCCTCGACGAATAAACAATTAGAATGCCTAGATGGATACCTAGTCGGATAGACTATTTGCAAATTAACCGACAGTTCGAACATTCTCCCGATGAACGTAGAAAATGGTAAACACAGGGGTACGCGTTACAATTATTCCGAACGTCACTGAAATAGTAACGCGGTCTATTCTCGTCCCGGAGAATGCACGAACACGGATACTATTTTGAACTGGCCGCCGTGAAACGAATATTAAAGTATCGTTAATCGCATGGCAAATGACCGTAGCTGAATCTCTTGTTTGTTCGAAGCGGAATCGAAACGATTAGACGGAAAAATTTCGGCCCTCTAGATTAGTCTTTATCAAGCTGTCGATATTAATCGCGTTCGATATCGTTGCTTTGCATCGCGAATATCGCGTCGATATCGAACAGTTGGTGCAGTTGGATTAATTACTCGTCGTCGAAGGGGCCACGAGTAAACGGAGGTCGTCGTAATTCGACATAAATAATAAATCTGTTCGCATTTCGAGACCAACATGCCGGAGGACCACTCGAAATCTCGAGTGAACCAGTACAGTGGGGCAACATTTTCATTTTTGACCCGTGTACGTGCGTGTACCGGGTACGTTGGGTTAGGTCTACGTGTGTTGGAACATCGGTTCATTATATTGTGTGCGGTCGGGTACAAAGCGAGTAGGAGACAAAGCAACTAGGATGAGGAGGAGGGAGAGAAAAGGGTAGAAACGTAGAACGAAACGAATCACTCGAGATCCGTTCGTGAACTATTTCCTCGGGGCTCGTATTTTAGGAAGTTGTAGGAAGCATGAGTCCATAGACCAGAATAAGACAGTGCATGCTGCACGAGGCTGTTCCTCTTTATCTCTTAGTCCATCTCCTCTTGTTTATAATTGGAACGTTCGGTGTTGTCGCGTGTTTCTTGTCTTTGTTACTGTAATTATTTATACCGTTCTTTCACGGTTTTCAATTCATATGATAATTTGCGATTTCCGTTTACACGAGTACTAAAATCTTTTTCCGTATATACATTAAAATTAATGATCTGAAAATATTCGATAGATCGAAGGATAATTTTAGAATAAGAAAATATCTGAAAATATTCGATAGATCGAAGGATAATTTTAGAACAAGGAAATATTGTATCTATTACATAACGGTGTTCAGAATCGTCGGATTTATATTTAGACTACATATGTTTCGTTGAAAAATTTGTACGAATACGAGGCTGATCTGAAAATAAATTTTTATACGAAAGGTTCGTAACCTGGTGGAATTTTGGTTGGTTACAGACACATCGTAGCCACTGTGTTGGAGGCCCGTAAACGCACCCAGTCGAAGCTCAGCGGCAGAAGCGTTCAGGCGAGTAGCGTGAAACGTTGGCGGAGAATGCAAGGGCGAGCAGCGGAGGCGCGCGGATTCGCGAAAGCTCGTCCGACGATCGTCCACGCCGAGGACGACGATCGTCACGGCTCGCGATGATGTCGGAACGCGGTCGCGTAGCATCGGTTTCGTCGGTTGTGTTCGCGCGACACAGAGAGCTCGTTAGAAACGTTCGACACGCGACGGGATAAATGCGAGACCGAAACCTCGTGGGTGGACCAGTTGTCGCGGCGACGAAAAAGAAGAAGAAAAAAAGACACCTGGAATCGATACGACGACGGCATCAACGGAAATCAAGCTGGTGGCAGTGGATGAGAACAGGTGTGCAACAGAAGAGGAGCAACAACGGAAGGTTGAATGTAGATCAGGAAGAGGAGGAAGAAGAGGCGGACGAGGAGTCGAGGAATTTCGGGAAGGATAGAGGGAAGAAGAGGAGGACGGATCTAGAAGAGGAGGAGGAAGAGGAGGAGGAGGAGGAGGAGACAGGGATAACGATCCGAATCCCGAGGATCCATCGACAAGATCGGCCTACTACCAGCTGGACTGGACGGCCTCGCGAGTTTTCGTGGTAAGGCCGTGGGTTGTGGGGGCCACCACGGGGGCGGGGGTGGGTTTACTCCTGCTTTTTCTCGTCGTCGCTGTTCTTGGCAATCAAACGTGCACGACGACGGCTGCGCCGGTGGTGTCCGATCCGTACGTGTCCCTCGACGCTACGCCTCCTCGTCTTCTGCCTCGATCAACGGACCGCTGGTCGTCGGAGTCCACCGTCCGGAGTCCAACGTCTCGTCGATTTTCAAACTACCAGCAGCCGGACGTACATCCTCCGCCGAAAGGAGAGCTGGATTATCACGAGATATCGTTGCTCCCAGCTGAACGACACGGTTTCGATGCGATTCGGTTGCTCTCTCCCCAGCAACCAGCTACGATCGATACCATCAGCAAGAAAGATACATCTTCTTCCGTTGCATCGCAAGAAGGTGGAGGAGGAGGAACAGGGAGAGGAGGAAGAGGAGGAGGAGGTCTGGCTTACGAGAGGACCAAGTCGAGACGACGACAGGTCGATGATCGAGGCTCAGCTTCTTTGAGCTCCGTTCAACCGTACTGGCTCCAGGGGAGATTTTCTCGTCCCCGTCGCGTTCAATCTTTCTCGGCTCTCGTCGGTACAGCCGAACCGAAACGCCACGATATCCTCGAGTTCGCTTTACCCGAGACCAACCATCACGACTCGACGTCGTCGTCGAATCTTGAGGACATTGTCAGAGGGCCGGCTTCTAGCCGGAGTTCTTCAACAACCACGACGACGACGACGACGACGACGGCGACGACGACGACGCTGGCAACAACCACGAGGACGACGGAGGAGTCGCGAATCACGATTACGGTACCGATTACTTGGACCACCGATCGTTTCGTCCATCGAACTGTGCCGCGGTTATCGGACGAGCAACTATCGGGAAGACGCAACAGGAAGTCGAAGGACGAAGAAGTAGATGCGAGGGATAAAGACGGAGGGAGGTTCGCGTTCGCCGGGGACGGTAGTGGTGAGGTCATAGGTGGTGGTGGTGGTGGTGGTGGTAGTGGTATCGTCGATTGGAGCACAACAGTCGCCGGGCCGATGTCATCCTGGTCGTACCCCGAAGATGAGCAGCCGGGAGCTGTAAGGACACGGCTGAGCCCGGATGTCGCGACCGAGAAAGACGAGGAGGCGGATGGTAGCGAGGAACAGGTCAAGGTCACCGTAGCTCAGGGTAAAGGCTCGTCCACGTCGACGGCAGGGACTACGACCACTTCGTCGACGACGCAGTTGCCACCACCCGGTCAAGACACCTCTATGGAAGCACGTGAGTACCATCTTTTCCTTATCTTTATGTCTCTGTATTTGTCTCCGTCTTCGTCTCTGGCGTACCAGAGACCCCGTTACATCGTCTCTATCCACCCAACCGCGAACACACGCTCAAATCCCGCGGGTTTTACCAAAGCTGAGCTAAGGACCCTTGGTCAGGCTATTTTTAACTATTCTCCCTACAACCTTCTTCCCTTTTGCTATCGTCTTCGTACTCGTCCGCGTGGCTTCTGCCTTACGTCTGACTTGGTAACAGGACACTAGTATTCTACTCGTTGGTCCTTCCCGTTGCGCCCTTTCACGTCCTTCGAGAAGACACCCACCTCCGTCTCTGCGAATAATGATCCTTTTCCTCTTTCTTTTCACCGTCTTTTTAATCTTTAATGCACCGCGCGAATCCGGGAGGGTGCTTCTTTCCCCCTTTTCTTTTCTTTTTTTTTATTTAAAAGCTTCTTGTTATCTGTCTTTAGAATACTCGAGGAGCGTAAAGTACCTTCGGCGATGATTTAAGATCGAATTCTCTAATATTGAAAATTTCACTTGATACTAATTATCGTTAATTGCGAAACGAATTTCTCATTCGCGGAAGAAAGAATGCAGATATAAAAGCGTACAGGTCGGCGGATTGCGCGAGGGTAAGGGAGAGAGGCTGACGGTGAAACGTGTGCATCTCGTGTGTTTTCGATTACGCTTGCACGGCCGTACGCCGGCTGCGTACGACGTACGGCTCGTGACTTCGCGTATGAATCAGCTAGCTATTCTTTTCGCGCGCTGGCCGACCGCGCGTTCTCCTCGCATCGTCTCTCCTTTCTTCGTTGCACTTTCTGTTCCGCTTTCGCCTCCTCCTCGTTCATCTTACGAAACGAGCGAAGACGGCCGAATCCACGCGAGCAATTTCTCGCGACCGCCACGACCAGCTTTCGTCTTCACCCTTTTAGCCCTTTTACCTCCCTTCGCCAGACAAAGTCGCGTTCCTCCTCAGCCTTGCTCCGTTTCGCGCGAAGCCGGTTTCCACTGGCTGGATTTCCTTCGTTCTTATCCTCCGATTGTTCTACGCTTTCGTTATACTCATTCATGTTCTTTTTTTTCTTATTTAATTCGGACGGATATTCGTTTCACGTTTCGTTTTACGGAATTAATCAATTCTAAGATTCTCTTATCAAAGTCTCTAAATACGCAATACCAGTCGTTGAATAGAGTTAAATGGTCGATTGAAACAACGCTTCCCGTTCATCGAAGATCAGAGATGAAATTGCAATTTCGATACACAGAGACAACGGTAGATTGTTCCCGGTAGATTAAGCACCGAATCTAATCGACGTTAATGAAATTGCTGGATTAAAGCCCGTTCGAGGAGCCGAGAGGATCCTCGACGAAAGAAATTTCACGATTGTTTTGGAACAACAGAACCGACGGGTACCCGATATCCGTAAATCGTTTGTACGTCCTGAATGCCGCATCGAAAGCCCCTGATAAAAGGCTCGATGGAAACGCGCGGCGAACGGTTTATTTTAGATTATAACGTTGCATATCGCGGCGTGTAATCTCGTTAATTCCGCTTGATCATAATAAGATAACCGGCGGATTGGCGGGAGGCCAAAAATTTGAACATTCCCAGATTCTGGCCCGGCCCCCTTGTTCCCTGTACCGCGCACCCCAGCGAACCACCGCCCACCCCTCTTCTTTTTTTCCTACTTTCGCCATCATTTTTTCCCCTCCGCCGCGACGATTCATTGCTTCTCCTAATTAACGCGACCTCGTGCCGAAGATTCATGTTGCTTCGAGGCGAGCTGTCGTTCGCTCGAAACTTGCCGATTTATAAATCGAAGATATCGCGCTCTTGTAATAATCAAACGTGTGAATTTATTTTTTAAAACAGCAGGAGTTGGGTATTTATTACTTGTGCGATGAATGAATTTTCTGCAACGAAAGGGTCTAAACTTGACCTATTTCCGTGGACAGTTCGTGTACCGCGTTAGCAGAGAGGGTTACATTAAAATCCATTGATTGCACGAGACACGTGTAGCACGCTATGTTTGTAGATTTCTATCGTGCCGTTGAACTTGTTGATTGATCTCGAATCGATAGATAAGAGGCGCCGATGAAATATTGATAAGCTTCCGATCGGTGAATCGCGTACGACAGCTATTTATGAAAATTCGTAAAACTACGAATCCGCGTGGGTCTCCCTTGTAAATATACGGCCGGCACAGTGTTTCGATGTTGTTACTTAACGTGTTTATTTCGGTGAGCTTCTGTAACCCTCGAGGCGTTTTTTTTACGAGGCTAATTTGTGATCTGGATGGTTCCCAAAGGCGAGTTCTGGTGACTGCGCGATACCGGGTACCCGGTATAAGAGGAATGACTAAATGGCCTGACTAACCAGTCAGGTATTCCAAAACCCGTGCCTTATTTTCACCGCTTATACAGAAGTGACACGTGAGTGACAAGGAGGGCAGGCAGTTTTTGCGGGCAGACCGCGTACGAATTCCAGCCGGTATTTTAGTGGTTTTCATCGCGACGCGATCCCAAGGGACACGGTAAATAGATCCCGCGTTCGGAACGATAAATTTACCGACGCCGCGACTTTATTTTAAACGTTCCTCGCTATTCTCGCGCCGTTGAATTCGTCAAGATACGTGTTCGCCGAGTGAACCGACCCGAGCCGATTATATCCTGACCAATAACGATACTCGTCCCGGGTCTACCTTTCCTACAGACTTCGAGCATCTCTAGAACCTTGGTAGACCACCTTCTAGCATCATCCCTTTCTTAGAACCTTGATTGATCCACGTATCGGAAGAGTTTTCATTTGAATTTTTACTCTAATAAATACTCGCAATTTTGTAGAAAAGAAGCTTAGGTCTACCTTTCCTACAGACTTCGAGCATCTCTAGAACCTTGGCAGCATCATCTCTTTCTTAGAACCTTGACAGATCCATGTATCGGAAGAGTTTTCATTTGAATTCTTACTCTAATAAATACTCGCAATTTTGTAGAAGAGAAGGTTAAGAATGATAGCTATATTTTTCTATCGTCTAGATGCAACTATTTGTCCTTTTAGGAAGCTCGATGGTATCCAAACTTCTGGTACATCTGTTCGAAATACTGGTGTCGTTATTTTAAGCGACCGGATTTAATGACGAAAGGAATGAATCATTTGCACGGGATTACTAAGTTGCAGCTCGAGTTCCCGCTTCGAACTGCTTTGGAAAGGTGTTTCTCTTCTTTCAGTTGCAAATATTATTCGTATCTTTGGGAATCTTTTTAAACTCTCTCTCTCTTCTTGTTTGAAAATTTATGTAGAATCAAATAACAGATATTAACGATGTTATTAAAATATTGTATTCGCTACCTGAACGGGAATTCTGACTGAAAAATGGCCAGAAATTTATGATGCACGCGTGATTTCAGGCCGAGGAGGAATCTTTTGGTCGTGAAACAATAGGTTGGCGAAGCCGGGTAGACTCGATGGTTATCTTTTACGACTTTATAATGATATAACAACGTGTTATTAGACGGACAAATCGCTTCTAATAATTACAAAGTCGAAGCCGGGTTCCCACGGTGATGCGACCGGCTCGGTCCGCGTTTTACGGTCACGCGAAAATATGCAAACTGTCCCAAGAATTTCGCGCGATGCTTGCGAAACGCGATCGCCGCCTTTGCGCCCGGTCGTCCACCGGTGCAGATTTATCCAGGTTTTCGTTCCGCGGTGATTATTCATCTGTTGATACCTCCTCGAATCGTTCCTTCGAAAACTGAAGACCGCGAAGAACTGTGTATCGTTAAGAGGAACGACGTGGATTTGATTTATGGCATGCACACGAACGCTCTTCCCTTGCTGCTTCTTTAAGATCGTCGATTTCCAACCTTCTCCCGCCTCGTTATCCTCCGGTTATTCCTTTAAAATTCTTCCTTTCCTCGCGTCGATTCGCTATACGCTATCCTACCGGTCGATCAGACTATAATCCTTTTGTAAATTTATCAGAGGTGAAATTTTGATCAGAACTATTACACGCATATAAAGTCAATTAACAAACTTCAATAAGTATCTCTTCCAGTCCAGCGATCAATGACACGTGAACGTTAAACGGTAACAAACTCTGAAACTTTTAATTGCCTGGTTAATCGAAACACCTTTCATCAATCCGGCGAACATAGAAGCCCGAGTCACCCCCGTCGATATTCCTCGCAAAATTATTTCTCGTCAGATTGTAACAACGTTTCGAAAGAAAATCGTGTCTACGGTTAGTTCGGTTGCGTAAGTTGAGCGTACGAGGTAAAAAAAGGTTGAAGATTTCTACGGGATTTCTCGGTTGAAACGTGGCTGGTTGGCGTAGCAGTGTACGGCCGAACGAAACCCCTCGATCGAGCCGTGGCTCTCGACAAATGCCTCGCGGATTCGTAATTTTTGTTCTCCCCTCGACGCGAAGGGAGAGCAAGAAAGCGTACCGGGTCACGGGGGGGAGAGAGAGAGAGAGGGAGACGAACTAAGAGAGTCAGATGGGCAAGGGATGGTGAAGAAGGAAGGGAAAAGCGGGTGGTACAACGAAGGGGTCCAGCACAACGAGAACGGAGTACCGAGGAAAAGGTTGGAAAGAGAGAAAGATTGAGAGAGAGAGAGAGAGAGAGAAATGGTTTCGAGGTGGAAAAAGTGACTGAAGAGGGAGAGAAAGAGAAGAGAGGTAACTCTCCTGCGGAAAGGAGCACTCCTGCGATGAGAAGGAGCGGAGGGATGGGCAGGAGAGAAACAAGAAAAGGGTTAACGTCCTTTCGTTCGCTCCTTGCTCTCTTTTACTCTTTCTCTCTCGCTGTACTTCTCTCCGAGTCTCTCTCTGTCGGTACACCCTTTTCCTTTCTGCTCTCTGCTCTGTGCCCTGCCTTCCCTATCTCGCTCGCCTCTGTCTCCTCTCTTACTTACGCTCAGAGCTACGAACCTACTGTCTCCCTCTCCCTCCTCGCTCCCGCCATTTATTATTCATCGGCAAGGAAAAT